CCCCCCCCCGCTACCCTCCCCCCCCGCAGCTCCCATAGTCCACAGTTCCCCGCCAGTGGGAGTGCAGAGCCAGTGCTTGGGACAGGGGTAGGGCGCAGAGTCCCATGCCCCTCTCCCCCGCGTCGAGGAGCCAGACGAGAGCCAGGACAGGTAGAGTCTATTCTGCCTTAGACCGGCAGCACCGCCGACTGGACTTTTAGCAGCCTGGTCAGCGATGCTGACCGGGGCTGCCAGGCCAGGGGTGAAAGTAACTTAAAGGACTTACTGGCACGCCGGAGTCCTGAGCAGGGGACGGGGCCTCAACCAGAAGAGGCGGGGCCAGTAAAATCCCCGGGTCCTTTAAATCGCTGACGGAGCCCCAGGGGCTCCCAGCTGCTGCCGCTACCCCAGGCCTGGTGGAGATTTAAAAGGACCAGGGCTCTGCTGCAGTTGTGGCACCTGGAGCCCCCGGCCCTTTAAATCACTGCCAGAGCCCAGCCGCTGCTACCGCCACAGGACCTTTAAATAGCCACCCAAGTCCCTCTGCTGGAGCCCCTGTGGTAGCGGCAGCAGCCAGGGCTCTGGCGGTGATTTAAAGGGCCCGGGGCTCCTGGCCACTGCCAGGAGTCCCAGGCCCTTTAAATCTCCAGCATGGGTTAGCCGGTCCAGTCCAGTCCGGTCCGGTGTACTGGCTCTTGCCGGTACGCCAGACCAGACCAGACCGGCTTACTTTCACCTCTGCGCCAGGCTCCCTTTTCGACTGGGTGTTGGTTGGTGCCAACATGTCTCATACTATTGGGAGGGTGGGCAGAGGTGCTGATCTGCTGGAAGGTGCGAATGGTGCCAGCAGCCAGTTGTCTGAGCTGTAGACAATTGCAGCCAGGAGCGGCCGCCGGGGCTTTTGGCGCCCTAGGCGGGGGTCCTTCCACGCTCCCGGTCGTCGTCGCCAATTCTGCGGCGGGGGGGTCCTTCCACGCTCCGGGTCTTCGGGGCACTTCAGCGGCGGGTCCCGGAGCGAGTGAAGGACCCGCCGCAGAATTGCCGCCGAAGACCCGGAGCACGGAAGGATCCCCTGCCGCCGAATTGCCGCCGAGGACGGCAAAATGCCACCCCTCCCAAATCCTGGTGCCCTAGGCAATCGCCTAGGTCACCTAAATCGAAGCGCCAGCCCTGATTGCAGCGGTGGCTGTGCTAAAGAGCTCGCCCTGGCTCTGCCTACACTGGACATTGGAAGCCCGGGCTCTGATCCCAGTTTGATCCCAACTCCCCCTTCCCTCCACATCCAAATCAGTCTGATTCAGGACCGGTTCCAGGGGCCGAGACAGAGCCCGATGCCTGCTGCAACTCAGCACCAAGCTTTGTCATCTGGCAGCCAGAGAGCCGCGTCAGAAGGGCTGTGCAGTGCAGTGGGGACAAGTTAGTGCAGCTGCCAATTATGGGCAGCGTGTGACTCCCGCATCTGGGGAGGACGGGCGTGCCTGGAATGTTTCCCCACCCGCTTCTCTGCCCCAAGGCCTGGCCCCCGCTCAGCCCTTCCCCCGCACGGCCCCGCCCCCACTCTGCCTCCTACCCGAAGCAGGAAGAGGAGCAGCATGGGCAGGGCCACAGGGGAAGAGGACAAGCGGGAGTGAGCAGCATACCCAGCATGGGCAGGGCCATGTCTAGGGCAGCAGCAGTGGGCTCTTTGTGGAGTTTTAGCCTCCCCTGGCCTCTTATACCCGTCACCATGCTGCCAAGGGTAAGGCCAGGTTTACAATGCAGCAGGGGCTCGGACAAGGCAAGTCCTCCAGTCCAGGGTCACAACGCAGTGGGGCTGTATCCTGCGTGTCTCCCCTGCACTTTTCTGATTTTCCCCCCAGAACATTCCCCGAGTGGGTAGAACTGATCTCCAAGAGCTATCACCCTCGTGATGCCATCGAGGGGAGTGTAGGGCCTTCACAAACTGGCCTAAGTTTAGGACTAGGTCATGGACGACAGCAGGGGTCTAGGCTGCCCCAAGGAGATATGCACTAACAATGACTGACTTACATGATCACAGCACTGACTGCTGAGCTGGGGATCCTCCAGGTCCCAAACGCTTCCCCTACGAATATTCCCATCTCCCTGCACTGCCACTGACTTCTGTGTGAGCAAGACCGAGCCACATCCCCGTCCCTGCCTCGGTTTAACACACTGGTGGGATAGGGGAAGATTGTGGCCCGGTCTGTGTAAAGGGCTTGGAGGCCGAGTGCTGTATCACGGCAAAGGGGCACTGCAGTGGTGATGGCTGCTCTACATGCCCTGCTGTTCCTGGGAGCTGCAGAGCAGTGGTTGAAGGGGCAGGGGCAAGAGAGGCCATCTCTACCTCCATACTGCAAACCTGTCTGGGACACAGCCCCATAGGTGGCCGTGGGGTCCGGGGACACTTCCAGCCCCGTAGAGACTTTGGCTGCAAGCAGAGGAGCCATTCACTGGCAAACCTCAGAGGAAACCTCTTTGTTCCCGGATCTCCCTCCCGACACGCACCCAGAGCCAGCCAGACCCTGCCGAGCTGGGTCAACATTGCAGCTGGTGCCCTCCTGTACCCCATTCCCCAAGTGCCACCGAGCCACCCAGCCTGTGGCCACACAGGGACTAGGGACAGGGCTTCTGAAAGGGAAAGGCTTCATATCCAATCCCCACCCCCTTGAGCCAGCCAGTTCTGGGGCCAGATCAGAGCCTGTTCCCCCTAAAGAGGAAAAGCCCCGGATTGCACTCCCCAACCCCTGAGCCAGCTGTTCCCCCTGACCTAGGGCTGGATCGGAGCCTCTGCACCTTTTCCTATTCCCTGATCCCTCTGAGCAATCTAGCTGTATTTCTGACATGCTGCTAGGGTTAAATAACTCTCCCCCTCATTCTGCGTTTGCAGGAAAATATTTTATTGCAAGAAGCAGTGAAAAAATTGAACTCGGTGACAGCTTCCCCAGGGCTCAACCTGAGACAACATCCACACAGCATCCAGTGGATCAGGGATGGGGAAGGGCTGTACAGTATAATGGGCACTAGGGGCAGCAGGGAGTGGGGGATGGCGAAGGGGCGGCCATCAAGGGGTTTACTGGGATATTGATCTATCCTGGGAGACTAAAATAGGGCACCCGAACCAAATCAATCTGAGGTTTCAGAGCTGCTTGGCCCCCTCCCCTGTTGGGTTCAGGGCAGCCCAGCTCAAGTTCAGGGCAGTTGTGTTTGGATCCTGCTCAGCGAGGCAGACACTGGGCTCAGAATGAGGGTCTCAGTGCCAGCCAGGGGAGAGAGGGTGGGCACCCAGATTTTCACTCATGTGTCTGGGAACTGGGCACCTAGTGTGGGAAGTTCCTCCGCAGGCCCCAAGCTGCCGGCCTGTGGGATAAGGGGAGATGCTAAATATCCCTGTGGCGAGCACTGCCCAGGAGGCAGGGACGGGGCAGGAGAGCCCCCAGTGACAGGGGTCTGCACTGGAGCGAATGGGGAGAGCAGGGGACCCCCTGCTCCGAGCCCATGACCAGCACCTGGGCTCTACAGGACTCTGATGAAGCGCACAGGCAGCCCCCGGTTACAGGCCACACGGATCCTGCGGGTCTGGGGTATTCCCCTGTAGACACAGCTCGGTGGGCGGGGGGGGCTGCGCACCTGGCAGGTGGTGAGGGGGTAGGCTGCATTGCTGTCGCATTCGTTGTATTGGTTGCATCTCCCTCCAGTGGTGCAGATGGCCCGGAGCTGGCTGGCGGGGGCGTGGATGTAGGTGTGGGTGAGTTTGCACATATGGATCTTCTGGCTCAGGCGCCTCATCATGTGGTCGCAGTAGCTCTGGCCACTGGGGGGTCTGGTCTTGGGGAAATCAACGTGTTCGCTCACAAACTTTCGGTAGCTGTCGGGTGGTCTGATGAGCTGTGCGAGTCCAGCGGCCAGCAGGATGAGGGTCAGGAAGAGCAAGGGGCCGGGTCTCCTCAGGGCCATGGCCACGTCTGTCACTGGATTCACCTGCAGTGGGGAGAGACGGGGGAGATCAGTGAAGACAGGGGTGGGGATCTGCCTCCTCCTTGGAACCTCCTGGAATACAAATGCCTCCCATTATCCCCTCCCACTCCACTCTGCCCCCAGTGCTCTAAAAATAGGGGAGTTATTTATTTTTATCACATGGCACCTAAATACTCTGCTGAAGATCTGGGCCCCCATTGTGCCATGTGCTGCACAGACCCCAGTTGAGATCAGGGCTTCCCCCCTCTAAGCCACTAATCCCCACTTCCCTCCCAGAGGTGGAGATAGAACCCTGAGTACTGACCCCCTCTGCTCTAACCACTAGCCCACACTGCCTTCCAGAAACAAACCCTGCAGTTACAGCCCCATGTGACACTGTTCTCTCTTCTCTCTGGGCTGGTGGAATCTCCTGCAACTTACCCAAGTCCTTGTTCCTTTCCTGTCGTCGGAGCGATGGATCTCAGCCTCTGCTGAGCTGAACCTCACCCTGATCCTCCTGCACGTCTTGGAGCATTTTATATAGAACCCAGCCAGAGAGAGAAGTGGAAGAGTGGGAGGGCTCAATCCAGGAAGCAATTGGGTCAGCAGAGCTTCCTGATATCTGGCAATTAGAAGCAGTGTCCAGGCAGGCCCCCAGGCATGGGTGGGGAACAACCAGCACAGTTCTGGGCTCCACAGAAACATCTCAGGGTGCGTCTACCCAGCAAGTGAAGGTGTGATTGTAGTGCAGGTGGGCAGAGCCGTGCCAGCTTTAGCCTAGTTAATGTGGGTAAAAACAGCAGGCAGCAGAGACTTCACCATGGGCTAACTGCCCCAGTACCAGCCCGCCAGGGACCCTGGGTACCACTCTGGTTGGTTGTCTGTGCTGCAGTCCAGGCTATCATGTCTCTACTGCTCTTTTTCCCTGTGCTAGCTAGATTAAAGCTAGCATTGGATCCCCCACCCATGCTGCCATCACACCTTCCTTTGCTGTGTAGATGTACCCTAAGTCCTGACCCACTGGCACCTTCCTAATGCAGTCCTAGCCTAGAAACTCACAACTCTACCAGTGCCCCTCACTCCTGATCCGCAGCCCTCTGCTGTCCCAGCCCTGGACTCTCCCCACCTACCCACACAGAGCTCCACTAATGCCCCTCGATCTCAGCCTGCAGCCCTCTACTCTCTCTCTGCCCTTGGCTCCCCTTGGACAGATTTGTGCTGATGCCTTTCAATCCTTACCAGCAGCTCCACCACCCTCCCCTCCACAGGTAGCTCTGGACCTTAATGAGGAACTATAAAAATGGCTTCGTCTCATCTGATTAGCAGGCCACCGGGTTTCTGAAAGAATAACCCACACACCTCCAGGGTGTGATGTTCTGTCCCATCTAGTGGCACCGAGACCACTTAGAGAGAGATTAATGAGTCTGCTCTACAACCTTAGCTAACAGCCCCATGGCTTTTTACCTCATGCAGTAGAGTCTCAGGCATTTAGCTCCAGAGGTCCCAGGTTCGATCCTGCTTGCTGAGAACCGGGGTCTGTCAGTGTTACAAAAGCACAGCAGAAAGAGAGTGGGAGGCAGAGCTCTGCATCCAAACACACCAAGGGCTGAGATTTTCTCAGGCACCTAAGGAATGTGGAGGCCATGAAAATTAGTCAGTGTCTAAACCCCTTTGGTGATTTGAAGGTGGCAGTCACTGCACACATATCCCTTGGGCTGCTGAGCTGTCAGCACAGGAAGAGAGGAGATTAGCCGGCTCCCAGTAGATCAAACTCCCCCAGAGCACATTCAAAAACAGCCCTAGCCAGACTTGAACTCATAGCACCAGCTTCACAAGAGCAGCCTACTGAGCAATAGAATTGCATGCTGGTGCACTACCTGGAGAAACAATGAAAAGGGCCAGGTATGACGACACACCTTGCACATCCACGTACGGTGGCCACTCACACATTCCCAGAATCCCAGGAACGGTGGTACTTCTGGGAACGGTGTGGCCCCACTCCCACCAGCATGACATAGGAGACATGGTACGTAGGAGGTCTTGCCATATGGAGGATGTCATTTTGAAGAGCACGCCACTCCACACCTGTGTTTGTCAGGTCACGATGGCCGGGGCAGAACTGCGCATTCTTCAAAAAGGTGTCCCCTGTCCAATACCTGACAAAAGCACATCCCATTTTGTCTAGGGACAAACCACCTAAAAAGAGGTGTGTCTGGTTCAAAATTAGACAAATGGCCAACCTACATCTAAGTGATTCTTTCCCTTCAGGATAAGAACGATTCTCCAAAGCAAAAAGAACCCCCTATTGGATGTAATTGGGTGTCTGCCCTATGTGTGATGGGAAGAAATGTGCGCTTGGAATTTTAATAAAGAAAGGAGAGAGAGAGACGAGGAAGGACGGAATGAAAGAGAGAGATTGACACAGGAGTGTTGTAATTTTTTTCTCTTGGGATCAAAGCCATGTCCAGAGTTTTCAAAGGGAACAGGTTGGGTTGGGCAAGGTTGGAGTTTCAGCTTGCTCGCCCATCGGCTCTGGGCACAGGAAGGAAGGTGGTGTGTGGAAAGAGACACTTGGAGGAATGCATGCAGATAGACACACGAGACATAACGACACACAGGGCACAACACTGGAGACAGACAAGGCTCTTACTGACCCAAGCCAGGTGTACTCGCCTCACACACTGGACAGGGAAGGGCTAACCCCACACTATAGGCCAAGGAAGCCACACACCCTCACCTCTGCTGGTCATGCTCTAACTGGAGCACCAGTATAAAAGGGAGCAGCTCAGCTCAGTCAGGGCTGACTGCTGAGGAGGGAGGATGCATGTTTCCAGGTCCACCCCAGGAGCTGCTAAAGCCCCAGATTGTGGAAGCCAGACCTGCCAAGACCCAGGCTGATACCTGGCTACCTGAGGATGCCTGAGGGAGAGTGGAGTTGCAGAAAGCTGCACAGGCCGAGGAACCCAGAGACCCCAGAAACACCGGGACCGCTGCATCAGTAGGACGTAGCCCAGAGGGACAATACAGTGATCCAGTTGTTGAACCAAGCAATAAGCCAGTGTGTTTCACTAGGATCTCCACTAACTCTGTGATGAGTATATTCACTACTGACAGGGCCCTGGGCTGGGGCCTGGGGGAGTAGGTCGGGCCCAGGTCCCCCTACCCCAGCCACCAAGCCCTCCCTACGTGGTGGCCCATCCCCCCTTACAGCCAATAAACCATGCCTATAGTGACTCTGGCCATTGGGCCACACATCCCCAAGGGAGAGGGCATCTATACTGATTCTGGCGACAAGGCCACATAACCCTGTTAAAGAGGGTCCTCTATACTGACTCTGGCCATTGGGCCACTCAGTCCTGAGGGAGAGGGCCTTTAGGCCACACTGCCCTGGGGAAGAGGACAGCTATATTGATTCTGGACATTGGGCCACACAGCCTGAGAAACAGGGCACCTATATCAACTCCAGCCACTAGGTCAGGGTGCCCTGAGGTTAAGGGTGGCCCGGTGGACTTAGCCACAGGCTGTAAATCTCTTGTCCCGCCAAAAGGGGGGATGGGATGTATTCAACCTGCGGCACCCTGACAAAAGATACAAACATGAACACAAGTTGGAAGAGAAGCCATGCAATATGCATCCAAGCAAGAGGCACACATGAGAGACCTAACATGAGACACACAACGCTCGCACAAGCCAGGGATTCAAACACAGAGAACACAAAAACACACCAGACAAAAAACGAAACACACAAGACCAATCCCCAGAAACACACACAAGCCCAAACATGACACATGGACAGATGTGACTCGCAAAAGCAAGTATTTTGGATTTTCCTTTTGGGGCAGTGAATACCAGTGGAAAGATGCTTGTACTGGTAGAGTTGATTTGTGTCGATAGCACACTGCCTGATTAGCACCATTGCCTGATTGGTTGGAAGAGTCACCAGACCTGCTCTTAAACCCATTACAGACCTTCCAAGCCCATGTTGCCACCCTGGAGGCTAATTTTCAAGCAATGCTGCCTTCAGCTCTGACCCCTACAAGCCCAAGCTATCCCTATCTGATGCATTCCATAGCAATCATGACAAATTTAGTGGTTTCCTAAATTAGAATCAACTTTACCTAAACTACAATGTGAAAGATTAACTGATCTGGGTGGAATACCCATCCAGGCTTCATTAAAATCAACAACCAACTGACTGAACACCTCCAAGACAAAGGATGGTTGGCCTGGCTCCTGTCATCTCTGGCCCCGCCATCACCGGTGTGATGGGTTCGGTCACAGAGATCCCCTTGGACTGTCACCTGATATGCTGAAATTACCTCTGAGCCCATTTTCCCTGCCAGCTTGGGAATTCAGAACCCTGCCTTGTTGAGCCAGACACACTAGCCTGCTGCAACACAGACCCAGGATCTGGGCCACGCCCCCAAAGCTGCAGGCTTTAACTGAAAACAGGTCCACAGGTTGCGTGTTTCCAGCACCCAGTCATCCACTTCCCAATAGGATCCAAACCCCAAATAAATCCATTTTACTCTGTATAAAGCTTATATAGGGTAAATTTGTAAATTGTCCACTTTCTATAACACTGATAGAGAGAGATGCACAGCTGTCTGATATATACCCCTCCCCCCCCCCCCCCGGTATTAATAACTTACTCTGGGTTTATTAATGAACAAAAGTGATTTTATTAAATATAAAAAGTAGGATTTAACTGGTTTCAAGTAATAACAGACAGAACAAAGCAAAATAAAACCAAATACGCAAGTCTAAGCCTAATACATAAGAAACTGATTACAGGTAATATCTCACCCTCAAGGATGTTCCAATAAGCTTCTTTCACAGACTAGACCCTTCCGAGTCTGGGCCCAATCCTTTCCCTGGCACAGTACTTGTTAGTTCCAACAGACATCTCAGGTGGTAAGCAGGGGTTTTCTCATGAGTGCTCGCCCTCTTTGTCCTGCTCCAACCCCTTTTATAGCTTTGGCAAAAGGCGGGAATCTTTTGTCTCTCTTGGTCCCCACCCCTCCTTCTAAATGGAAAAGTACCAGATTTAAGATGGATTCCATTATCAGGTGACATGGTCACATGTTACGGTAAGTCCCCTAGTCTCCATTCCCCATGAGCTGGCCCACACATACACAGGAAGCATTTCAGGTATCGAAGGCCATTTACAACTGATTGTTTCTGGAGCACCCTTAATGGCCTCCACTTAATCTGTTTACATCAGTGTTACAGGTTTATATCTTATTCTCCTAACTCCAGATATAGAAATAATACATGCAAACAAATAGGATGAACACACTCAGTAGATTACAAGCTTTCTAATGACACCATACAAGGGGTATTTAGCGTAAAGCATATTCCAGTTATGTCATATTCATAAGCATATTTCCATAAAGCATATGGAGTGCAACATCACAACCGGTGCCTTTTCTGTCACCAAGCCCATGCAAGTCACTCAGGTCTGGCCCCGCCTCTACAACATGGGGAAGGATGGATGTCTGGCATCTGGCCTCTGCCTATACTGTGGGGAGCCCCACAGTTCATGTGTCAGTATATAATGCCTGCATCTGTAACTTTCACTCCATGCATTTGAAGAAATGTGATTTTTTTACCTACGAAAGCTTATGCCCAAATAAATCTGTTAGTCTCCTTGTTGTTTTTGTGGATACAGACTAACACGGCTACCCCCGATACTTGACTACCCTTTGAGGCCACTACGAATCCTCCAGTATGGGCTAATTTGTGCACCACATTCAACAGTTGTCCTTGGTTTCTCCTGCCTCGTTGCCCACAACCCATGCATCCACTGGCAGTCAGGCACTGTACTCTTTGACTCCCCATCTTGCCAACAATCCTGTTTCCCCAGAGCTGAGCTGGGACCAGCAACCTGTTGTGGTTTACTTGGTCCTCCAAAGAATTCAGAGATGAAGAGAGGATCCAAAGGTGACCCTGGCCCCCCATGACCTCCTCAATTGTGCTGAGGATTCCTGTTAAATGTCAACAATATGCCAACATGTTTGACAGAAAAAAATTGACACCCTACTGCCCCATCACAGCCGTGACTGCCATATCAATCTGTCCCTGGGAACAGAGGGTCCCTTCAGGTGTATTTATTCCCTCTTTGAACCCAAACTATAGGCACCCCGGAGCTATCTTGAGGAAAACCAGCAGAAGGAGTTGACTCATCCCTCCATGTCCCCAGTGAGGGCCCAGATCTTCTTTGTGGAAAAGAAAGAAAGCTCCTTCTCGCCCTGTGTGGACTTCCAAGCTCTGAAAAAGGTTACAGGTACATCCTTACCACTTATTAATGAGCTGTTTGAAAGACTCTCCCCTGCAAAGGTCTCCACAAAGTTGGACCTGGTGAGGATACAGAAAAGAGATGAATGGAATGGCCACTATGTGTATTTGGTCATGCCTTTGCAGTTGTGCAGTGCCCCGGCAAACTTCTTGCACTTTATAAATGACATCTTTCGGGACATGCTGGATCAATTTGTTGTCATTTACCTAGATGACATCCTAATTTTCTCCGAATGTCAAGATAAGAACATAAGAACGGCCATACTGGGTCAGACCAAATGTCCATCAAGCCCAGTATCCTGTCTTCTGATACTGGCCAATGCCAGTT